CAAATTCATCTTAATCAGTAGACCTTGCATTGTCCTGCAATTCTTCGTCTTTCGTAAAATCGCATAGGCTCTCAAGTTGAATTGTTCTACCACTCTTCTTGATTCTTTGCATAAAAGCTGCCGAAGACAAAAAAGAAATAGCCAATCAGAATTTCTTCATCAATTTTGCAATGTCTTGAAATAGAAAAGGAATCATCTGACAGATGAAGCAAGGCAAATATTTCTTCATGTCATCTCTGGTTGCATGTCTAAGGTCTCAAAGTAGTAAATTTCTGTTCATATAGGAGTTGAAAACTCATTTTCTGGTCATGTTTGTAAAGGGTTGTATGAGAATGCTGCCAAAATCAGGCAATCAATTATGTCCAAGGCTTAATGCTGCTGAGACACTGATACTGAACAAGTATATAGGAGTTGAAAACTCATTTTCTGGTCATGTTTGTAAAGGGTTGTATGAGAATGCTGCCATAATCAGGTAATCAATTATGTCCAAGGCTTAATGCTGGTGAGACACTGATACCGAACAAGTATTACTATTTGAAAAGAGGGTCAAAGAATTCTTGAATTTGACACGAGGGAAGCAGGACAGGGCCGGCTATGTATTCCGCTCAGATGTACAACGGATCAACTCAGGGCGTGGAACAACTTGGATTTGGAGGTAAGTTTGGAACCCATGCTAAAGTGAATCTCTACACGCTAGCCAATTCTCAAAGAAGTAATACATAAACTTCCTTTCAAAATAGATAAAAATTGATTGGATTGGAGGGAGAAGGATGAATTAGAGCAACAAAGAGCTAAATCTCAGTGGATCGTGGCAGCAACTTCACTCTACCACTTACAATACTTGTCTCGCCTATTTAAGTCACTCACGAAGCATTCTACCGCTACTCTATGGAAATTGTACTTCAAAGTTGTCATCGTGACTCTTCCACCGCATTGACTTAGCTGTTGACTCATTCCCTCCCCCCCCTCCCCCTCTCCTCTCCCTAACCATAAGGCTATAAAAACAATGGGAAGAAAGTCTTATTTCTGGCATAAATGCTGCATAAGCCAACAAAAAGAAATCATCTGACAGATGAAGCAAGGCAAATATTTCTCCATGTTCATCTCTGGTTACATGTCTAAGGTCTCAAAGTAGTAAATTTCTGTTCATATAGGAGTTGAACAACTCATTCTCTGGTCATGTTTGTAAAGGGTAGTATGGGAATGCTGCCAAAATCAGGCAACCAATTGTGTCCAAGGCTTAATGCGGGTGAGACACTGGTACTGAACAAGTATTACTATTTGAAAAGAGGGTCAAAGAATTCTTAAAATTGACACGATGGAAGCTGGACAGGGCCAGCTATGTATTCCACTCAGATGTACAACGGATCAACTCAGGGCGTGGAACAACTTGAATTTGGAGGTAAGTTTGGAACCCATGCTAAAGTGAATCTCTACACTCTAGCCAATTCTCAAAGAAGTAATACATAAACTTCCTTTCAAAATAGATAAAAATTGATTGGATTGAAGGGAGAAGGATGAATTAGAGCAACAAAGAGCTAAATCTCAGCGGATCGTGGCAGCAACTTCACTCTACCACTTACAATACTGGTCTCGCCTATTTAGGTCACTCACGAAGCATTCTACCGCTACTCTATGGAAATTGTACTTCAAAGTTGTCATCGTGACTCTTCCACCGCAATGACTTAGTTGTTGACTCATTCCCTCCCCCTCCCCCTCTCCCTCTCCCTAACCATAAGGCTATAAAAACAATGGGAAGAAAAGTCTTATTTCTGGCATAAATGCTGCATAAGCCAACACAGAGATAACCAAACATCAACCTCATATTGCAATTGATACTTTTTTTCTAGAATTGCACTCAACAACAGCAACACAGATGGTTATCAATCTACATTGATCATATAAAATGAATGATACACCCACACTCCCTTAAAATTAAACAAAATATCCCACAAATGAACTAAAATCTTATAATCTCCATTCAAGTTTCGGCTCCATCAATCCAAATTACTCTTATGAAACTCTTTTTCTGTATCATTCAAAATTATAAACCTAAAATTTTGAAATTATGATCAAAATACAAAACTACGTTAATTGGGAAAATATACACACTAATCCATCTACCAAACCCGAAAAAAAAGTGTGAAAACCCCAAAAATCACAATTCATTGAAACTTGAAAGCATTAAAAGCAATAAAATTCAAAGTAGACAGACTTACGAGAAGGAGCGTAGCTAATTGAAATCTCGAACCATAATTCAGCATTCCGCTTATCCTCATCAGTCTCTCCATTGATGAAGTCATAGAATCTCGGTGCCGAGAACTCATAATCGTCATCCATAACAACTGACTTCAAATCCGCCATTTTCTTCCACTTTCACAATATCTCTGCAACAAAATGATGCGAATCGTTTTCCTCTGTACTCGCGATTTTGCGAGAGAAAAAAAAAAGGAAAAATTGATTGATTCTTCTCTGTGTCTTCCCAAAAATGATAAGAACAGAGTAGCAATTTGGGATTTACTTAGAGATTTTGAATGTAACGGTCGAATTTTTGAAAAAGAAAGAGCTTAAGTGACTTTTGGAATGTGCACTACTGTATAACGGCTAGTAGAAGGGAGATTTATGTCCTAATATAAAATAATATTTTTCGAGTTTATAAAAATTGTAACTAATGTTTATATTAGGATAAGTTATTCGAATAAAAATAAATAACTATTAATGTTATAATCAAAGTCTAAACTCTTAATTATTTAAGGTCCATGGCAAGAGGAAGATATTTTTCAAATCTTATCATTGAAAAACAACTCAATTTTTTATACTTCTCACTTATTTGATATCATATCATTATTTTATTTTTTTTAATAAAAGAAGTTTTTAAATAATTTAACCTTTTAATAAATAAAAAATTAACACAAAACTTCAAATTAAATGTCTTCTTACCCAAAACTAATATAAAACTAATCAAAATCACAAGATCCTATTATTTTGTTGCCTCTAAAATAATATATCTCGTTAGGAAAATTGCTCAGCAAAAATGACAAAGAATACCACTATTTTTGATTTTGGGTCTTCCAAATCATTTCCGCAGGAGATTCTGACCCATTTTTTTAAACATATTATTTTACATGTTCAATTTTACTTGTCATGTTTTACTTTATGAAAATCAGTTTATTAACTAATCTCCAGAGCTATACTGCGTGTGATTATCAATAAAAATTTATCAATCACTCACAGACTATTTTTTACAAAGAAATTTCCTCAAATAAAGAAAACATATTGTAATTACAAAATCTATAAAAAAAATAATTAATTATCCATTAAAATTGTGAATATATAATATTTACATATTTTGATCCCTTGATTTTTCTCTATTAAAATTCACTTTATGATACTAGGGTAAAGTAGTACATTTCTCGAATATAAGATGATATTGAATATTCCCTTAATTCTTCTCTCGTAAATTTTCTTTATAATTCGAACATTGTTAATAATGTTTTTTCTCTTTTATGTATGATGAGTTTAATCTCATCACAATATATTTAATGAGCGAATGGACTTTACTATAATATTTGATGTCTTAATTTATTTATGAATATCTCAATAACTTATTAAGTAATAACATGATAGAATTATTATATAAAAATAAAAGATAAAATTTTTTGAATGGAAAAGAGTCTGATATACCTCTCAACTTTGTCATTTAGAGTTGATATATTCCTTGTTTCATTGTGACTCATATATACCCCTACTTATTAACAAATGGTTCACATATACCCTTTTCCTCTAACGGAAATGAAAAAATAATTTTGATCTGATTTTTTATTATTTTTTTCTAAAAAAATAATCCCATATGAATAAATTTAATCCTCGTCAATCATTTTTTTTTGATTTTTTTGTTTCAATGACTAATTTAAAATTATTATTTTGATAATCAAATTTATTTATGTTTCACTAAGGTTTTTGTAAAACTTATTGTAGATGACAAAATTTTTTCTTAGAATACAAAAATCAAATTACAATATAGACAAAAAAAATAGTTTAAATTTTTTTCTATAAACTAACGAACGAAAGAAAAAAATAAAATAAGAATAAAAAATTCAAATAATTATAATAAAATAATTAAAAAATAATTTATGTATGAAAAAAATAAAATATACCTTGAACTTTGATTAAAGAATCATATATACCCCTAAATATTTTTTAAAAAAAATTAAAAGTAATAAATATAATTATTTTTTTTAACTTCCGCTAAATTAATGAAGGGTATATGCGAGCCATTTTGTAACGGCAGGGCTATATGTAATCCGTTTGTATAACGGTAAGGACATATATGAGTCACTTTCATAACGAGAGGTATATCAGCTTCAAATGACAAAGTTGAGGGGTATATCAGATCCTTTTAGGGGTATATCAGATCCTTTTCCCTTTTTTGAATAAAAATTAACCAAACTTATGACATATGTTGATTAATTAATAATGAATATATTGATAAATATGTATATGTATAAGAGATATTTTAGTTTTAAAAAATTAATTTTCTATTTACTTTTTTAAAAAAAAATTAACTTCTTTTCAACGGGAGAAAAATTATTTCTGCTTCCATTTAAAAGCAATTTTAAACATCTGTCAAACATATAATTTATGAGTTTTTTTCAAAATAAACGCTTTTAACCTCCCAACAAACTCTTGCTAAAATATATTTTAATATATTTAACCTTTTTTAATTTCTTAAATTTCGTAAGAGAATTCCAGTAACCTCATTTGATTTTTTACTTAAATAGAAAATTTCTTCCTATGAAAGAAAGAAAAAAAGTTATTTTTGCAACAGATTCCAATAAAAAAGGAAGACTAAAACTAATAAAAACAATTTTTCATTTATTATGCATTAAATATTTACTCACCTAAACTGAATGATAATTGAACTAATAACTGTACTTATAGATTATATATAGTTCCATTAGTGACCATAATTAGAACCACTAATAAATTTTTTTAAAAAAAATTATATGGCAATCAAAAATCAAGCAATTGTATTTCTTATGGTCATAGTCATGGCAGTGGAAATTCCACTGCCAGGTGCTGCCACGTCAATATTGGACTTCACGCCTCAGAATGTGACGTGTCATGACGTGATTAATTACTTTGCGTATTGTCAAGAATTTGTCGATGGAAATGAAGATGATCCAACGCCTGTGTGTTGCAACAACTTACATATAATGAACGAAAAGGTAGGACAGGAGGAGAGAGGGACGCGGAGATATTGTTATTGTATTGAAGTGTTCTGTGATACGTTTAGTCAACCTCATCCTCCTTATCTTGCTTCAAGGATCGAAGATCTTGATAAAAAATGTCATATTCATCGTAGTTTTCCCATCTCTGAGCATATGGATTGCACAAAGTACGTTATCTCATGATTATCTCTCTCCTCCCTCTAAATTTTATACTATATGTTAGTATATACTTTCTCTTTTTAAATTTACGTGACTTAATTTAGTTAGATTCAAAATATAAGAAGAAAATAAAGATTTCTAAAATTTATGGTATCTTTTATTTATATACTAATCATCATGAGTAACAAAATCACTTATTTTTTCCAAAATATATTTTCAGTGATGCCAAACACATCCTTAAACATATGTGGTTATATAAGTTTCATCAAAATAAACATGTCATTCATTTTATTTTTAAGGAAATATTTTCATATAAATTAAAATGTAAGTATAATTTTTTCATATTTCTTTGGGAATGTAATGAGTTCGGAACTTAAAGAATATAAAATGTTAAAAAAAATTCTAAAACGGTATATGAATATATATTTTAACCAAAAGGGCAAAATCGCTGGAAGGGCAGCGATTTCGCTCGCTGGAAAAAGTAAGCGATTTTCAAAACAAATTTTTGTTAATGATTTTTTAATAAATTGCTACCTAATCAGTGATTTCTTTAATTTTTTAAATTATTTATTTTTTAAAAACAAACTAAGCAATTTGTCTCCAAATTGTTTTTTTTATTTTTTCCAATCAATTTTTTAAAACTTTTTTTTCCAATTTTTAAAATTAAATTTTAAATTTTTTAAAGAAATTTTAATTTTAAAATTTCTACCACTTATTCCAAAATAACTTTTTTGTAATGATTTTTAAAATAAGTATCAATCAAAATTTTTCTAAAAAATTGATTTTAAAAAAATATAAAAAATATTGGAGACAAATTGCTGCTTAGGGAGCGATTTTTTTTTAAATTTTAAATAAAAAATTAAGGAAATCGCTGCTTAGGGAGCAATTTATTAAAAAATCATTAAAAAAAATATATTTTAGAAATCGCTGCCTTTATCAAATTTTTTCCGACGACAGAAATCGCTCCTCTTCTAGCGATTTTGTCCTTTTAGTTTAAATAAAAATTCATATACCGTTTTAGAATTTTTGTTAATATTTTATACTTTTAGGCTCCGAACTCGGAATGTAATACTAATACTAACTTTTTTTTTCTCTCTCATTTTTTTTTTTGCAGTGTTTAGTAAGGAAACATTTAGCGGTGATGCAAAATATTGCTTCTTTTTTTTTTTTTTTCATGTTTTAGATATTATGTAATTATATTATATTATAAGAAAATATGTATGGATAAACAACTAATTTATTAAAAAAAAATGGCCCCCCAAATCCATGAATACTAATTCCCAATTCCCATTTTCTTTTTGTGATTGATCATGAAAAGATTGCTAAAACTTTAAACAAAGTTCTAATTACGAATTATGATACAAGATAATCACAATTTTTATAAGCAATATAATAGAATAATTACAATCCAAATTATTTAAATAAAAACATGATTGATACAATTCAACTTTATAATGCCAATTCTTTATAATTTTAATATCTACAAATATTAAAATTAGTATCACATTTTTTGGATTTCAATTAGATTAATTATGTTTTTTTTTTTGCTTTGAACAAAGGAAACCCAATCTTTAACAACGTGATTATTAGTCAGGGGAATCTTGCTAATCTAGGTATAAAATGCCAATTTAATTGTCATTATACCATCAGAAAAAAATTAATTATCAGTTTATTTGGGTGGTAGTTATACATATAAAAAATTATACTCCATATGTATCGTAATAGGACTTGATAAGCCTATTACATACATTTTGTTTCAATTATTTTCTATTATCACCTATTACTTAAAAAATCTCCAAAATATCTTATTTTTTAATATATCTGAGTTAATATTTAATGTATTTGAATTACATGTTATGTATTAGAACTAGTTTTTAATGTATCCGAGCTAGTTTTACTTTTTTAAAATCCAATTAAAAAAGGTTGTTTCTTTTTTTTTAAAAAAATAAAAATTCTTTACACGTAGTTCTTCACAATTTAAATCAATTATTAAACTCAAAGGTTTTTATGTTTGTAACGAATCTTTGTTTTCCTTTTAATTAAAAAAACTCAAAATTTCACAATTGCTAATATAAATTTCGTCTCATTTAGAAAATTTTTAGGAATATAAATTTATGTGATTATACTTTCTTATCAACTATAGTACAATAATGTAAATTTTAAAATTTTTAATTCTAAATATTAATTTAATCAAACTCAATTTAATTTAATTAACTTTTTTAATAAGATGATAATATAAGTAAAAAAAAAGTGAATTGGAGCCACGTGTGAAAGGCATTATCCTCGTAGAAATTACGAGTAAAAGTACTGATTCCGTCACTTTCATAGTAGGGTTGTTCAAAATTGATAATTCGAATTGAAAAAAGTAATTTATTTATTAGTATTAGGTTATTAATTTAGCTGTTTTGATAACAGATTTTTTTATTGGATTATCGCTTCTTAATGGTTGATATTTTTTCTTAACGGGGTAACCGACAATCAAATAGTAGATTAAATAATTATATATATACTATTTTGTATATAAAATCTGTAACTTAGAGTTAGATTTTCTATTTTTATTTTTAGTTGTCTTAAACACTTGGTTATTCTGCAACGTAAAAGTGTTTGTTTTTGAGCATGACCTAACTTGTGAACTCGTGTTCATGGTTTATTTAAATATTTAATATTTATTTTGTGTCAAATTTTAACAGTTAAATCCATAATTAAATCGATAACAATAAAAAACGAATAAGTCAATATCTTAGTAGCTCTAAAATATTTTTACAAACTAATAACCAATAAATCAAATTAATAAACTTTAAAATCGAACCTAACCAATAAATCAAATCAATAAACTTTAAAATCGAACCGAACGACCAATGCATTCATAGTCACGTGAAATGATACTATTTTTTCATTTGAATAAACGTGCATGCCCCTCATTAGTAATAATTTGAAGAAAAAAAAAATGGAGAACAAATTGAGCAAATGGGGTTTCAACAATGGCGATTCGAAGGAGAAATCTTTGTTCTCAATTCGATCAGTACTTGAAACAATAATGGAAAATCTCAAAGAAGACGATGAAAGAGTAATGATTCATCTGGGTCGAGGTGACCCATCTTCAATCCCCTGTTTTCGAACTTCTCCGGTAGCGGAAGATGCCATTTTTGGTGCTGTTAGATCTGCCAAGTTCAATGGTTATGCTCCTGCTGCTGGAATTTATCCAGCAAGGAGGTAAAGCTTTTTGGGGGTTATTTAATTTGTTACCGTAAAGTTTTCAATTTTTGATCTTGCATGGGTTTAAAAAGCTTGTTTCTTTTTTGTTTTTTTCTTTCTGATTTTATCACATTGAAGTTCAAAATTTGTAGTTTATTAATATATTTGATTGCTTTTGGACCTTTTTTTTTGGTGAGTTGATGGTTTAACCTATATAAGGTTTGCGTATACTTTATCCTCGATGCACCATTTTTTGTGGGGCTACTAATATGTATGTTGTTGTTATCTATTGTTACTTGTTGCTTTATTGGATGTGTTAATCTTGCCACTTTAGTATCGTTATTTTGCTTTCTAGCATTTTTTTGGGTAATGTGTATTAGGCTGAACATCTATTGAAAACATCGTCTCCACCACCACGAAGGTAGGGAGGGGTAAGGTGTGTGTATATTCTATCCTCTCGAGATTCCAACTGATCGGTATTTTGATGGGTGGTGCGGAGATATTCTTTTGAGTGGATGTAAAAGCTTGTTCCTTTTTTGGTATTTATCTGATTGATATTACTGCATTTAAAATTTGTCTTTATTGGGCAAGTAGGTAAACTTGCACTTGTAGGATAATGGGTTGTTGATAATTTTGATGGTTGGTGTAGAAATTTTTCTTGTGTGGATATATAAGCTTATACCAGTAGTTGTAGCATTATTATTGTAGTTTCTTTATACGTCGATTTCTATTACTATTCGGTATTTCTTGTACCTCGATTATAGGATTATTTTGTTGTAGATACTGTTGCTTGAATGCTTTGTTATGCTATCTTTAGTTTCTTTGTCGTGGTTTCTTCACTTGTGTTATTTTATCTTTTTCATGTATTCTTTTGTTACTATGTTTTTTCTTGAGCAGAAGGTTTATCGGAAACAATTACTCTACCTCCCAAACCCCACTCGTGGGATTACGCTAGGTATATTGTTGTTGTCGGATAGACAAGCTTATCTACTTTTTTGAAGAGTGATTTATCACATTGCAATTTTGTAGCTAGTTGATTCTTTTAATATTTTATTCCTTTCTCATATGTCTCTTCTGGTTGCCTATCTGGTTTTAGTCGTTTTGAACATTGTCTCTTCATTATCTTGATGGAGACTTTCGTGCTATCAAATGAGTTTTTACTTGCAATGTCTGCATAAAGTATACATTTTTAAGCTCAAATTACCTCAAACACGTTTCCCTTTTACATAATATTCATGGTTATTACGAGTTATAATGATAATCACATTATAAGTCTAAGGAAGCAATTTCTTCAAAAGACTGAAGGAGAAGTTAGCTTGAGTAGAATTTTTCTTGTAGTCTTATTGTAGACTTCTTGTCATTTATTTTGGCGTAATCATCATGAATGCGGATGATTAGGTCTCATCAAGTTTCTTTCTAATGTTAAGAAACAAAGCTATTTGTTGATGCCAAAGACATACTCTGATAGATGCCCATTTTTTCATCTGCTGTGATAGGTCAATCGCGGAATATCTCTCTCATGATCTTCCTCACCATGTATCACCGGATGATGTTTTCCTCACACCTGGTGCTAATCAAGCGATTGAAGTTGTCATGTCAGTCCTTGCTCGCCCCGGTGCCAACATATTGTTCCCTAAACCAGGATATCCATTTTATGATGCTCGTGCTGCATGTAGTAATCTTGAGGTCCGCCATTTTGACCTTCTCCCAGAAAAGGGCTGGAAGGTTGATCTTGAAAGCGTAGAAGCGCTCGTTGATGATCACACCATTGCCATAGTCATCATTAATCCTGGAAATCCTTGTGGAAATGTTTTTACGTCTGAACACTTGCAAGAGGTAGGATTGACCTCGATATTGATGACTACTGTTACTCTCTTAAATCTCATAGTTCATATAACAAATCTCATTGGCCTAATTTTGTCCGTTGTTTATTTTCACAATGGAGATTGCGGAGACAGCAAAAAAGCTAGGAATCCTTGTGATTGCAGATGAAGTCTATAGCCACCTATGTTTTGGTAGCAAGCCTTTTGTACCAATGGGAGTATTTGGATCAATAACTCCAATTTTAACTCTCGGGTCAATATCAAAAAGATGGGTTGTTCCTGGTTGGCGGCTTGGTTGGATAGCAACAATTGATCCTAGTGGTGTCCTTAAGAAGTCCGGGGTTTGTATCATATCATTTTGTTCTCTTTATTTCTTCTCTTTGCTCTGTTAGAATTGGAGAAGAACAAAATGCTAAATTACTGCAGTTCGCCAATTGGGAAATATGTAGATCTATGCAACGCTTAAAACTGATAAAGTTGTGTAATCACCTGTATAGATATCTAATGAAGTTAAAAGAACATTTGCCTGCAGATTAAGCTTGAGCATCTCGAGCATGTCAATTCCTTCATGTGATTGAATCTTCTGTTGTTTTTGCTTTTCAGATTGCTGAATGCCTTCAAAATTATCTTGAATACAGTGCTAATCCTGCAACTATTGTTCAGGTATTGATGTACGTCATTTTGATTTTCCTATGATCAAAACGGTCATACACATAATTAAGTCTATATAACAATAAACTATGGAAAAGAAGCTATAGCTTTTGCTTATGCTTACCGGTTTAGATCCTCTAAAGGGAATGATCACATCTCATTATGTGGTAAAGAAGTTCTGATTGGGCGTGTTTGACAATGTACAGGGAGCAGTACCTCACATCCTCGAGAAAACGACCAAGGAATTTTTTTCACACATCAACAATGTACTAAAGGAAGCGGTCGATGCATTTTATTCCAAAGTTCAGGAGATACCTTGCTTTATCTGCCCGGACAAGCCAGAAGGAGCTATGTCCATGATGGTGAGGACTTAACAAACACTTCGATTTTGGTCCTCTAAATCTAATGCTGAAGATCTTCAATACCTTACTTTTGATGCCTTGTAGATTAAATTGAACCTCTCATTGCTGGAAGACATAAATGATGATATGGATTTCTGCACTAAGTTAGCTCATGAAGAATCAGTTCTCATTCTGCCAGGTAAAACATCTCATGGTTTCTCAAGAATGAATCTAAACCAGTCTTCTTCTTTTTTAAATTTCTCACCTGGTGTCTAGTATCCGCATTTGACCTAGTAAATTTAAACTGGCATGGGAAAGTCCCTCATTGCGGTAAAGCACTCCATTACAAAGGCAATTCCATACCCAAGGCTTAAACCTGGTTGATATTTATGCTCACTCTTGAATTATATAATGTCAAGAAGATTAAGAAAGCTCTGTTACT